ATGCGTAGCATTCCTCTAATGGTGGACATATATGTGGACTTCAAATGTTCCCTCTTTCACACATGGCTGGAAAGAGCATCCATGTACATGGTATGCAGTGTTGCACGGTAGTTAAGAGTATATTAGCTCCAGTGGATTTGAATCCCAGCTACTGTGACCTCTTTTTACCTCCTATCTTCTTAGAATGGTAGAGATGAGAGGATGGATGGGATGACCTCAGAATTCATTTGAAGAAAAACTGCAAATTTTTCCACAGGACTGGAAAGTCAAGGTGGGTACAGGGGAAGTTGCAAGAGTCTTGAGGCCCCTTCTGCAAATGTGAGAGCTGGCGCACCCTATCTCAGGATCTCTCCACCCTAGGGTGTGAAGCCAAAGCCAACTCATTGCATCTGATAGACTGGCAGCTGGGGACATGAGCTAAGTGGGTGTCAGGCAGAGGGAGGGAGGTGTCAACCACAGAGCAAAGTGAGGTGAGAGCACTGTGGACTGGGCTGAGGTCCCCCCTCAGCCCTGCCCTTAGAGTCCCCACACAGACCCTTAACCCTCTGGACCAATGATGGACCCAGACCTCCTCTTGGATTCCTTCTCTGGTGCCCTTCAGAAATATCCATGCAACAAAGCTCCGTGACCCATAAACTAAGCTGGCGGGTAGCATAGCTGGCTGGCCTCAAGACTGGCGTGGTAGTGGCTACAGATTGGAGAGTTTTTGAGGTTTTCAAAAAGGAAGTAGGGCTTCTACCTGTAGTCTTATTCCTTCTCTTAATTACTTGACCAAGCCAGCCTGACACCTTGGCTATATCTTGCTTCCTGAACCCCCACCCAAAAATAATACGCCCTGATGCTTGTACATCACTTTCTATTTCAGCAACATCCAGCAAGCCTTCTGATAACTGGATGTAAGTTCCAAGGTCTGGGTCATGTTCCTATGGGCTATATTCCCAACAACTAGTCCAATGCCGGATACATAGTTGGCAATCAAGAAATGTGTAAATGGCCCCAGCCACTTTTGCTCAATGGTTAGAGCATCAGCCCTTAGACTGAAGGATTCTGGGTTCAATTCTGGTCAAGAGCACATACCTCAGTTGCAGGCTCAATCCCTGGCCCTGTTCAGGGCATGTGGGAGGCAACCAATTGATGTGTCCCTCTCACATCGATGTTTCTCTCTCTCTGTCTCTCCCCTTCCCTTCCACTCTCTCTAAAAGTCAACAGGAAAAAATATCCTCGGGCGAGAATTACTAAAATAACATATAAATAAATAAAAGGAAGAAATATGTGAATGAACAAGTGAGTGAATGAATGACAGGTCCTTGAAGTGCTTGCAGGGTGCTGGATGCTAATTCCACTTGTTCATTTCCCCAGTCCTTAACTTGGGTCTCTGTCCATCTTGATTTTCCTGGGGGGTCCTTTGGCTCCCGAAGGGAATCCAGACTCGACTATACCACAGTTGTGGCCCTTTTTACTTCTTCATCGGTACCCACTCCAGCAACTCTTCCCTGAGCTCTCCTTCCCCTCCGGGGATGTCATAGCCCCAACTTAGGTTATGTGACTTTGAGTCGATCACTTTCCTTCTCAGAGTGTCAGTTTTCTTGCGTGTAAAGCGGGCTAATTGCATCCATTTTGCAGGGTCATTGTGCTGACTGAGGTAAACAAAGCATGTCGAAGTGGTTGGCAGGGTTCCTGGCACGTGGCGAGGGTGGAGCGCTTAGAGCAGTTACTATTGTGGTGTGGAGACTGGGGAAGACTGCATTGGATGAGACCAATGGTCTCCAAACAGGCGTTAATGAACAGAGCAATAAAACGGAACGTAGTTCATCTCTAAAAGTGTGTGCTGCCCAGATTCTGGTCTCCCAAGGTGAGCCAGAAAAACCCATCACAATTTAAACACTTTTAGAAAGTTGACTTGCAGACACTTGCCTACCTAGGCAAAGACTGATGTCCAAAATTAACAATATAACCCACATTGGTCAAGTGCTTGCTATGGACCAGAGCTCGATGTGAATGATCTTGAGGAATCTTCAAAAGGACCCCGTGAAGCAAAAACTATTATTTTCCCCATTTGACAGATGAGAAAAGAAGGACAGAGAAGTTAAATGACTTGCCATAAGGTCACAGAGCTAGGTTTAAATCCAGCAGAGCTAATATTCTTAACCACTCTGCATACTATCTCTGAATGGAGGTCCTTTCCAGTCCTGTGTGGAGCAGAGAAAAATTGGAGTCCACCAATAGAAGAATGCTATCTATTATGTCCATTCCTGCAAAAGAGTACTACATAGTCAAGAAAAAGCAGGAGGCAGCCCTAGCTGGTTTGGCTAAGCGGATAGAGCATTGGCCTGCAGACTGAAGGGTTCCAGGCTCAATTCTGGTCAAGGGCACATGCCTGGTTGCAGGCTTGATCCCCAGTAGGGGGTGTACAGGAGTCAGCCTATCAATGATTTTTCTTTCATTATTGATGTTTCTATCTCTCTCTCCCTCTCCCTTCCTCTCTGAAATTATATATATATATATGTATGTATGTATATGTATGTATATGTATATGTATATGTATATGTATATATAAACCAGGAGGCAGATGTCTGTGTTCTGGCATGAAATTATGGCCATGGTAGATTGTTGGATAGGAAAAGCTGAAGAACAATATGCATCGCATAATTCATTTTTATCTAAAGCAAAATTTAAAAGTCCATCTGCCTGTTCATAGGTTCATAGACAAATGTCTGGAAGAATAAACACAAAACCTCTACCCACTGGGAAATTGTGGAGGGGAGCTTCCACTTTTTTAATTTTTTATTATTAGTTAAGGTATTACAAATGTGTCCTCATCCCCCCCATTAACCCCCAACCTCCCACCCCCG